CTGCAGAGGAAGGCCATGGCAAACCACCACTGCTTCTCCCTTGCCTCGGAAGCTCCTTGCTGAAGTGGCCATAAGTTGGAAGCTAAGCAGGGTCAGTATTTGGAAGGGAGACCACCAAGGAAGCCTCCGCAGAGGAAGGCCATGGCAAACCACCACTGCTTCTCCCTTGCCTCGGAAGCCCCTTGCTGGAGTGGCCATAAGTTGGAAGCTAAGCAGGGTCAGTATTTGGAAGGGAGACCACCAAGGAAGCCTCCGCAGAGGAAGGCCATGGCAAACCACCACTGCTTCTCCCTTGCCTCGGAAGCCCCTTGCTGGAGTGGCCATAAGTTGGAAGCTAAGCAGGGTCAGTATTTGGAAGGGAGACCACCAAGGAAGCCTCCGCAGAGGAAGGCCATGGCAAACCACCACTGCTTCTCCCTTGCCTCGGAAGCCCCTTGCTGGAGTGGCCATAAGTTGGAAGCTAAGCAGGGTCAGTATTTGGAAGGGAGACCACCAAGGAAGCCTCTGCAGAGGAAGGCCATGGCCGACCCACTCTCCTTCTCACTCGCCTTGAAAGCCCCTTGCTGGGGTCGCCATAAGTTAGGTACGACTGGACAGCACTTGCATACCTATAGGCCATCTTGGCTACCCTAAAATGACTGTATTTTGGTTACGTTCCTTGACATGAACACACAGGAGAGCCTGTGTTGTATCTCAGCAATGATTAGTCAATATCAGATCTCAGTGTCTGAGAAAAGGAGAGGAACAGTCGCCTCAATAATTCTGGGGCTAGAGACAAATGCAAGAACCCGTTTTACCTAATTGCGTCATCCCTGCCGGAGGGGAGATAAGTGAGGAAAAGCTTCGGCTGTCTAAAGTCCTCTCCTCTCTCCGCCGGTCTGCAGATCCCTCCGAGAACATCGATTTTGTCATCGACGGCCCCGGCAAGGAACTGAAGGAGGGCGACCAGGTGACGCTGCGCTGCAAAGCAGATGGGTATCCGGAGCCCGATTACACCATTTTCAAAGTGGAGGTGAGCCAGTGTGTCTTGCCCCCGAGGCAAATGCTGACCGGGCATCCAGTTCTGAAGCGTAGTGGGTTAAACGCATGAAGAAACCACGGAGACTGATGTAGCAATCAGCATGGTTTACTGGTACACAACTCAGCCAAAAACAAACGGCCGGCTGGCCAACTATATACATACCTGGGGACACACCCCTAGGTCCCGTTGGTGGGTTTAAATCTCCCGCCACGGTCCCATTGGTCCCCCAGTGGAGAGACCAGGAGCCTAGTCCCCATTGTTACTCCAGAATCAAGCTCTGGAGTGTTCGCTGGCCCCTGGTGGCGGTCAGCGGACACAACAAGTTCAAATTCCGTCCCCCTGTTGCCGGAAGCCATGGCGCAGGAGGACACCCAAGACTGCTTCGCTCAACAGACCCAACCAGTGTTCCCTCTAAGCTGAGTTAGTGTGAGCCCAGCTCACAGTTTTTTAGCCTCCGGCTCACACATTTTTGGAGCTGCGGTGGCTCAAGTGGTTAAGACGCTGAACTGCAGGCTGTGGAAGGTCGGTAGTTCAGCAGTTCGAGACCCGAGTGTGCCGCATGACGGAGTGAGCTCCCGTCTCTAGTTCCAGCTCCTGCCAACCTAGCAGTTCGAAAGCAAGAAATTGCAAGTAGATAAACAGGTACCGCTTTGGTGGGAAGGGGACAGCGTTCCGTGCGCCTTGGTGTTTAGTCATGCTGGCCACATGACCACGGAAACGTCTTCGGACAGCGCTGGCTCTTCGGCTTTGAAACGGAGATGAGCACCGCAGCCCTAGAGTCGGATTCGACTGGCTTTTGAGCAAGGGAACCTCTACCTTTTACCTCACACGTTTTTGTCTTCGCTCGGGAAGGATGGTTCCAGAGCAAACTGATTTATGCAGCAGCCAAATCGCTCACAACTGTAATGCCGGTAGCTCACAAAGTGGGATTTTTGCTCACAAGACTCCACAGCTTAGAGGCAGCATCTGTCCGGTCTTGCCTCTTGTTACCAAAATCTGCCAACCAGATGTTTCTGAAGAGCCAGCAAGCGGGGCAAGGAGTCTGCAACTCTCCCTTGCTTCCTGACCCCAGCAGCTGGTGTTCAGAGGTACACTGCCCCTGTGCATGGAGGTTTCACTGACAGATCAGTGGCTGACAGTCATTGATAGCTCTGTCCTGAATGACTCTTAATTTTAACCAACACTTTTCAGCTTTCCCCCAGCATTATTTTTTTAGAAAACAGCAAGAGGCCGGCCTGGCTGCTTGCACAGATGTCCTCGAAAGCAAGTGAGTCACGCCCGGGGAGTCTCAGAAGCCAACAAAAGAGGGCTGCATAAGATTACCAGTCCTTGGGGGCGAGTTTCGGAGGCGGTCCCTGTTCCTGGCCTCTGTCAAGGGTAGCAAAACCGTAATACGCTTTGACAGAATAGGAGAAACCAGTGCAACTACCCCCCCCCCCCCTCAAAGTCATCTTGGTTGGGAGAGAAATGTGGAACTTTTCCCCTCTTCTGTAGTGCAGTAATGCTCAATTTATCTGAGTGAGGAGTCTGTCAGACAGTGGACATGTTTTAGAAATCTAATTTCCTCTCTCCCTTTCCAGAACCCTTTTTAAACTAATTTAATCCCTTAAACTAATCTGCCCCTTCACAGCTGGAAAAGTTGAAGGGGGGGGGGAACAGTGGGAAGGATTTGTTTGAATTAGGAAGAACTGTTTTTTTCCTTCCGTTCTAATTAATCCCACTCCCCTCCCCCATCGTTTCTGTAATGTATCCAGTCCAGATGGCGTGGCCTGCTTGGGCTCCACGCAGTCAGGGACAAACGTCGAGCTTCGCTCCAAGAGACAATGGACTATGCGGATCCTAGCTCGCTCCAATCAGGGGGTTAGGTTCCTGGCTGAGAGCCTGTGGGACTCTCGGCCACTGTAAATAACCTATTGGGAAGTGGGGGGGGGGTTTGGGTGGCGGTTTCTCGGGGAATATAAGCCGGCCTGCGAGCCGGCCAAAGTCGTCTTGTTCCTGATAGAATAAAGTACGCTTTGCTGAAATCACTCTCCATCGGCGTACTTTTCAGTTTCAAACTGGGAAGGACGCAGATGTTTCCGCGCTTTTAGAGACTCTTGGAAGGGTGTTGGAATCAGGGTTGGGGGATGCACATCCTAATGATGCACATCCCCTGCCCAGAGACCACAAATTTAGTCTGGCTTCGGTAGGCGGCAAAACTTGTGGTTGGCACTAGCCTTGCCCCTGTCCCCAAGAGCTCGAGTTTGGTGTTAGGTTTTGAGGGACAGAAATATCCCTTGCATCGGAGCTTGACACCCTGTTCTGAGCAGGGTGGTGGTATGCGTGGATGCACACGCCTGCGTGTTTATCCCTGTAGAAGTGAGCCATGGGGAGTCTCCCAAGGAGGCTTAAGTCTGGCCCTGTGTCGATCAACAAGCCACAAATGAGGGCACATCCTGCATACCTGCAGGGACCCCGAGTTCAGCAG